AGCCTGTGCCTCAGCCTGCCTCAGCCTCAGCATCCTCAGCCTCACCCTCTCTGAGCCTCAGCCTCACCTCACCTGCCTCAGCCTCGCCTCAGAGCCTCAGTCTGCCTTTCAGCCTCGGCCTGGTCTTTCAGCCTCGGCCTCAGCCTCAGCCTGCCTCAGCCCCAGCCTGCATCAGCCTCAGCCTCAGCCTCAGCCTCAGCCTGCCTCAGCATCAGCCCGCCTCAGCCTCAGCCTGCCTCAGCCTCAGCCTCAGCCTGCTTCAGCCTCAGCCTCAGTCTGCCTGCAGCCTCGGCCTCAGCCTGAGCCTGCCTCAGCCTGAGCCTGCATCAGCCTCAGCCTCAGCCTCAGCCTGCCTCAGCATCAGCCTGCCTCAGCCTCAGCCTCAGCCTGCCTTAGCCTCAGCCTCAGCCTGCCTCAGCCTCAGCCTCAGTCTGCCTTCAGCCTCGGCCTCAGCCTCAGCCTGCCTCAGCCTCAGCCTGCCTCAGCCTCAGCCTCAGCCTGCCTCAGCATTCAAAATGTGGCCCGGGAATGGTGATCTGGGAACTTGAAGAACACGGAATGGCCTACAGTTGGCTCCGGGCATTCAAAATCATGCCCAGGAATGGAGTTCTGGGAACTCGAAGACCACGAAGTGGCCTACACTTGGCTCCGGGCATTCAAAATCATGCCCAGGAATGTAGTTCTGTGAACTCGAAGACCACGAAGTGGCCTACAGTTGACTCCGGGCATTCAAAATCATGCCCAGGAATGGAGTTCTGGGAATTCGAAGAACACGAAGTGGCCTAGAGTTGGCTCCGGGCATTCAAAATCATGCCCAGGAATGGAATTATGGGAACTCGAACCCTCGCTTGCCCGGGATGGCAAACTGGGGTCCAGCATCGGATTAGAGGGGGGGGGCTTGGGGGGGTAGACGAGCTGCTCAACGCACCCTCTAGGTTTCCAGCGCCTCCAAAGAGCTTCAAAATGGCCCAAGAGAGCCTAAACAGAGCGCCACCACAGCCCAAGAGAGCATCGGATCGATCATGATATTGATGTTGAGAACAACAATGAGATCGATCGTGAGATCGATTGAGTGAGATCAATCATGAGATCGATAGAACGATGGATCGTGCGATCGAGTGTGATCGATCAAATGATATCGATGGCCACATCGACAATGCACTCGATCGTGAAATCGACCGTGAGATCGATAGAGTGATTTCAACTGTGAAATCGATAGTGAGAGCGATTGTGATCGGTTATGATATCGACAGAGAGACCGTTAATGAGAACAGTAGTGTGATCGATTGAGCGAGGTCGACAATGAGATCGAAAATTGTATCGACTGTGAGACAGATCGTGGGATCGATAGTTGATTCGATTGTGAGATGAACGATGGTGGGCTCGATAGTGAGATCCACAATGATATCGATTGTGAGACCGATTGAGTGAGATCGATTGAATGAGATCGACAGAATGACATCGGTTGGGTAAGGTCGATCGTGATATCGATTGAGTGAGGCGTTGGCTCCTTCCCCCCCGCACGCACATTCTCCTTATCCCGAAGGGCGGTCGTGTAGGTCTGTCAGGTCTGGTGCGGCTGCAACTGCATAGGCATCTCGCTCCACGATGCACGTGTCGCGCTGTCCGCCCTCAGTCGCAGCAATGTCCAGAGAAGAACGGGGCACGCAGAAAGAACCGACACGGTCTGACACTTTGGTCGGACGGCGGAAAGAGCGACTCCACACGGAAGGCTCGTTAGGAGTCTCGCGAGCCATCCTACGGGGAAAGAGGGACGCAAGAAAGGGAAAACGGGAGGCGGGATGGAGCGGCAAGGAGGAAGAAGAGAGGAGAGAGGATCACTTGGGAAAGACGAGGAGCGAGGGAGTACAAGGAGAGACGGAGAAGCTAAGATACCTTCAGTGCCTTTCATGGACTCACGGAGTCATTGTTCACAACAGACAATACAAAACAGAAATGCGTATGACTCTGGAGCGACCCTTCTGAGAAACCTCCGATGACTCTCCAGCGACCCTCTGGGCGGTATCTTGGAGTGCCGCCTGGGACTCTCAGGGACTCCTGGAGCCGTCTCTAACTACAGACAACAAATAGAACAGTACTCTTTATGGAGCTGACTGGTCCTCCTCCCCAGGTGGGGGGGGGCCCAGGAGGGGGTCCTTTTCCTCTTCCTCCTCCTCCTCCTCCACATCTCCGCCTCCTCCTCCTCATCTCCGCCTCCTCCTCCCTCTCCTGGTCGTCGTCGATATCTTTCAGGGTCGGCGGCACCGGCCGTCAGGCCTTCACGATAGAACAGCACTCCTTATGAAACTGAGACGACCCTTCTGGGGAACCTCTCGTGACTCTTAAGCGAGACCACCGTGGCCCTCTTGGGCTC